AGTCAAGAAATTCATGGTGTATCTGCACTTAGAATACTGCATACAGTTCTGGTCCTCGCACCATAAAAATGGTTCTTGCAGAGTTAGAACAAGTGCAAAAGTGAGCAATTAAACTGATTGAGGGAGTGGAGAAAATCTCTGTGCAATGGTTGCAACAGTTGGAATTGTTTAGCTTAGAAAAGGATTGGCGGGGGGCGGTGATAGAGGTGTGCAAAATTAGGCATGATGTGGAGAAAGAAAATGGTGGGGGAATTTTTCATAACACTAGAATGCTGAGACACCCGAAGAAGCTGATGGGTGGAAGATTCTGAGTAGATAAAAGGAAATATCCACACTTCACATGTGTAAAACTATGGAATTCACTTCCACAAGATGTAGGGATGGCTACCTATTTAGATGGCTTTAAAATGGGAATGGACACTTTTGTGGAAGATAGTAGTATCAATAGCTACTAGTTCTGATGTGAATGCTGTTTGTAGACAACATTATCTATCCTTATTTCTTAAATGCATGAGAAATCGGTCAGTGAAGGACATTTTTTTTCCTTTTACAAGGTTTTAAGCTTTTTGTGTCTCCGAGAGTTGTCCTATTTGCTCTCAGAGCAGCCAGCATAAGGGAAAAAGAACTGAGAAAATGGACTGGCTAATGGATTTTATTAATAGTTGTATTAGGTGCAATATGGTTGGTTTATTGTGAGTTACAAATCATATTGTTTATATGTATTGTATATTGTTTGACAATTATAATGTAATGTATTTAAATCCTATTATATGCTTAATTATATGGTTTTAAAATACTAATACAGAGTTTTTATTTAATGTTTAGTTGTTTTTAATGCTTATTTGCTTTTGTTTGTTTGAAATAGTCAGAAGACTTATTCAGTAAAGTTATTCATGCATTCCTATTAGTTTTGATGACTGATACGTCAGCTCCAGTATCAGAGGCAAACCTCCATTTGCTGGCTTAGGGGAATATGGTCAGGAAAGTGCCGTCACACCCGTCTTCTGCTTGTGGGTTAGGTTAGGTTGTCCACTGTGTGAACAGAATGCTGGAGTAGATGGACCCTTGGTCTGACCCAGAATATTCTTTGTTGGTTCTTATTTGAACAGCTGCTGGGCAGTTGTCCGGAAGGGTGCCAAGGCGCTTGAAGGTAAGGCTGTACACACAACATGCATCCAGGAAGGCTGCTGCCAGTGCTGAGACAAGCGTCAACGGTAGGATGGTTGGCTGCAGCATGTGGACAGGGGAAAGAGTTGCCATCTTGTCTTTGTTCCCCAAGCAGCAACACGTCTTGTGCTGGACTCCTCCCACCTGGCGTAAGCATCTGTCCCTTTCTCCTCGTGCTCCCTCCCTTCTGTTTCATGGTTCTGAAACAGTGAGTCCATAGACAAGGGCTTGTTCATTTAATTTCTGGTTAAGACACAGCCTATGTTCTAAAGGACTGAGAATTAAGATACTGATTAGATATTATCCACATCATTTTCAAGCTTCTCTCCTTCTGGCTAATGGCCAATCATTTTGTAACAATTAGGACCTATAAGATTTTGCTTGAAAAACAGCAAAAAACAACACACAAAATTAATCTCCTGTGTGCCACAATAATCAAATAATAGTCATCCCCATATTTCTCTATTTAAATTACCTATGTGGATTTGCATATAAACTTCAATTCATCTTTTTATATAGCCCAGTGAACCTTACTGGTGTGATGGTTAAAAGGCTAATGCATTTACTTTCATGCCAGAAGAGTAACTAGGGTAGTGTGGTACAGTATGGCTTACCAACCATGGTGATAAATGATTTACTGGGGCTGATTCTGTGCTTTGAAGCATCTCTACGACAGCACATCCCCAAGGAAAAAAGGGGGTCCCTCTTTTGCCATACGTACATGTGGCAGAGAAAAACATGGGTGGGGGGAAGAGAAACCAAGCCAAATCAAGCAATGGCGATGCCTGCCTCTAACAGTAACCAGGGTTCTGGAGGATCCTGGCTTTTTATGAATAAGTTGTGTGCTCGCACACCCAGCCCATGCAAGTCTTCCTGGCTCTTCCTGCCAGTGCAAGCAGCTACAATAAGCCAGATACGTTCTGCTCAGCATGTCACCTGAAATGGAGGGAGCAAAAAGCCAAGTTCCCAGTTGAGGCAAGACACTAAAACAAATCATTTCAACTAGGGAAAGATCACAAGTGGGTGTCATGGGCCACACATAGAACAGAAAGCAACTCATGCACAGTGCACTAGGCTTACCATTCCGTACAAACACAGTTAGCACTGTCTGTAGTCATAGAAACATAGAAACAGAGCAAGTCAGAAGGGAACTCCTGAGCCATCTAGTCTGACCTCGAGCTCCCATTTGCTCCGGTCATGACATGCCTGCCATGTGCATGTCCAACCTATCCCTTACCGTTGAGGCTTCAACCACCTCCTGTGGAAGCCCATTCCCTACCCTCGGGGTCCTGTCAGAAAGTACTTCCTGACATCCAAATTGAACCTTGGTTCCCTGAGCTTGGCTCCATTGGAACGTGTCTTGCCCTCCTGCACATGGGAAAACAGGTCTCTACCCACCTGCGTGTGACACCCTCTCATGTACCTATATGTCGCCAACAGATCCCCTTGGAGTCTCCTCTTCTCCAGGCTGAAAAGACCCAGTTCCCTCAGTCTCCCCTCATACAGCTTTCCCTGCAATTCAGCCACCATCCTTGTGGCCCAACACTGCACCAATTCTAACCTGGCTATATCCTTCCTGTAATGTGGAGCCCAGAACTGAACACAATCCTCTTCTGATCTAGAGTGGTACCATTCAAACAAAACTCTACTCCAACTTGTTTGTCTGAGAGCCAAATTCAGTTTCAGAGAAAGGGCTCAAACTACAACCAATACTTCAAATACCAGACTTAAGTTAAATCTCTTAAGTACCAGAAACCAAGCCTACTTGGATAAACATGCCAAAGCTGAAAAACCAAATTCACTGGCAGTTGGGAAAGTGGGCAGAGCCAGAATGGGGTTCAACTGTCTGGAGAACCCAAGAGAGCTGGACCAGGACCCAAAGAATCCAGATTTGGCCCCTGAAAAGTATGCCCGGCACCATTTTTAATATGCGCTGCTCTTGCAGGTTATACAAGACTGATTTAATATTCAGAATAGTGCCTGGCTTCCGCCTTCGCTCATCAAGGGTTAAACAGTGTGTCATGCAAAGTGGCCCAGTGATTTGCTTGTGTAGCTCCAAGATTCTATACCACAAAACCTAATGCCAAACAGTGCGACTGATTGTTGCCACACAGATCAGCATCTTCCCACTTCCTTGACCAGACCGGGTATGTGGCAAACTTCCACAGAGACTGACATAAAAACATCAGCATGCAGAATCAGAGACACAAATGTTACTTTAAGTTAGGGAAAATTTCTTGGAACCTAAAGTATCCCAGTGTTGCAAAATGTCTGCTGTGGGTAAAACTGTCCTGAAATTCTGAAGGGGAAAAAGTAGAGCCAAATCGGTAGACGGGGCCAGGAGTTTGCCTTAATTATTTTTTAAAGCCTTTATCTCCCTCATTATCCATCCCACAGAGAGAGAAAATATATGCCATTTTAGTAACATTTTGTGATCATTGGCAGGGGAATAAAGGCCATGCTCTCAATTTGCAGGAAAAAGTGTTTTAGTTACAAGCATATTTTTCACAATTTAATTATTTGTGGGTATACAGGGTGGTAAAATAACTTGGATGGCTGATTGGCCTCATACACAGCTGTGATGGTGCATTCAGACCCTCTTGTTTAGCAAGGATCACAAGTCTGCAGGCTGAAGCTCCAATTAATAGAATTATTTGTTTCCCCTAAGTGAGTTCAGACCAGCTGGATTATGCAAGTCACTGCCATGAAAGCAGAAGAATGTTGGTCACCAGTCGAGCTGTTGGAACAGCAGCCAGTGGAAAAGCTAGCAGCTCTCTCTCTCTCTCTCTCTCTCTCTCTCTCTCTCTCTCTCTCTGGGGGCTGGATGCTAGAACAAGAGGCCAGCCCCGACCTTCCCATCATCCAGATTCTCTAATGCAGACATTTTCCTCAGGGCCTGGAAAGTTTGCTCATTCATTGCATACATCCATATGACGGTAGCCGTACAAAGGTTTTAATGGCTTGAAGCTGGTTGTGTCCATGGCTTTTCAATTCCCATTTATGTTTCTGTACCAGCCTCTCCTTACCTGGTGTCCAAGGTGTGCTGAACTATAGTTCCCATCAGCCCCAGCCATCATCTCCAGGTTTCCAGTTGGGGTGAGAGAAGAGAATGTTTATCCATTTGCATTTTACAACTGATGTCAATAGCATAATTAAGTTTTTTCTGGTATAGAATGTAGTGGGGTATTTTACCCCATCTGATGGATGTGGATCTGGGCCAAGAGTACTCACAAACAGTTTTCGCCTTTAATGGATGAATGCCAGAACAAAGATTCAAGGCATACAGTACAGGAAGCTTCCCCTTATTCACTGCCTTGCATTCCATAGGAAAAACGGGGATACAAGTAGAATACATCTATCAAATACATGGTGGAATTCTGGAATGGTTAAATTTAATTTCATGCATTTCAAGGAAAGACAACTGATGAATAGTTTTGCAACAACAGCTTCCTATTAGTATCCAATGGAACATGAAGTAAATTGCAATTGTTCTTTCTGTACTGGTATTCAGTAAGATTTTTCTACTTGCTGTATAGTCATCAAACCCACATCCTGTTTAACATGCAATAAATCAGTAAATTGTTCCTTAGCTGGCAATGAAAGAGTTGAAGAATTTGAAGCAATAGGGGAAGTTTCAAAAAGGCTCAGATTCATTGTTCTTCCTATCTTGAAATTTCTGTATGTATAGCTGTATTTTCTGAAGGACTGGCTCAAGTGAAATGTAAATGAGCTGCATGCAAATATATGCAAATTAGCAATAAGTTACCCAGTAAATTCACAAGAGTTCTCTAAAATGAAGAGCACATCTGAAGAATTCTGCAGGAGACCTGGTATTTTGCTCACTTTGTTTTTTATTTTTAAATAGTTCTCTCATGTTCCATAGTATAAACACAATTTTAATGTTAGCAATGGTACTTCTGGTCCTCTTAGAAGCTGCATGTGTATTTTCATATCAAAAGAATAAAATACTTTAAACAAGTTGGACACTACAGCTTTCAGGTTGCAGTAAAACCTCCAAAGCTAGTTCTCCTGACATTTATTCTCTCCGCCTTATCAGCATGCAGATTGTATAGAAACGGATGGGACCAAGGCAAGCTAACTGAGGTCCCAGAACAGGTCCTGCTAACCCATAGCTGCCTCAGGTTTGACACTAGACTCTTGTGGCTCAAGTATTCTTATGCACCAAACAACCTATTGCTGTTCAGGTCCTTTCTGTGAAGCGACTTAAAAAGGAAGCTTTCTAAAAACACTGACTTCAATCCATTTGAGAGCTTTTTCTTCACCAGTCCCACCAAAATGAATGGGAAATGAGCCAAAGCACCCGCCAGCTGAGCCTGGAAGCTCAGGGCTAGATTCAGCCCACTGCCATCCCCTGATGTTCAACATATGGGACCTGCACTGTACACAAACAGGAGGTAGCTAAACAGACATAATTTTCATCGACTATTAAATCAGGTCACAATAAGCACAATGATAAAAATCAGGATTTATAAACAGTCAAGTTGGGCTAAGTTTAATTTGCTTCATAGTAGTCTGTCCTGCCCAGATGTTAAGGCTTTCTAACACAGTTCCAGAGGTGACAGTTGCCTCTGTCACCACAGACAGTTGCTACATCATTATGCAAACATGACAAATTCATTTTATTAGTCAAATATTTGAGTTCCACTCAAGTGCACTAAACATGATCAAGGCTGCATTGGAAGCCATAATGAACTGCATTCACCACTAAACTATAGTTTAAATTGTTATATTTATTAAATTAAAAGGAAGACCAGTAATCAGAATCCCTCTTTTCCTGAAGCTGCTTAGGTTATCCATGTTTACTCAAACAATTATAAAAGTATTTCAGAGAGTCTTCTGCATTTCTTTTTCCAGCATCTGATGGCTGTTGGGCAAGAAAGTGCTCATTTCCAGCATCTCGAGTGTGTCGACTATGAATGTACTTCAAAAGTACATAGCAGGGTGTGAGACAGGGACTTTTCCACCCCCAGCTGGAGATGCCAGGACTGAACCTGGAACCTCCAGCAGGCAAAGCACATGCTCTGTCACGGAGCTATGAATCCTCTCCACCAAGCTGCAGGGCCTTCCCTGAACACCACCCTTCCCCAAAACCAATCTGTTGGAAACTGTCTTCTCCAATCAGTTGCCCTCCAAATCTTTTAGACTACAACTCCCATCAGCTTCAACCATCATAGCGAAAGGGCAGGAATGTTGGAATTGTAACCCGTAAGATCTGAACGGCACTGGACTGAGGAAGGGTAATTTAAAATGTCACAAATAAAAGTCAATCAAAATTTAAAATATTTGGCTGAGGGTCTGAGATCTTGCAAATGCGTGATCAGTGGAATTCTGTGTTCATCTGGAGCCAGTAGCAATGACAGAAGTCAAAATTGTTGTTGTTGCTGTCATTTAAAAAACAGCAGCTACTGCCTATATTTGTGCATGTTTCCCTTATGTCACACTGACATGGTCAGATGACCTAAATTCCTGAGTGTCACTGTGTTACACGAGTAGCTACTGAAGGAACATTCCTCTGATATGCAATACATTTGAAAATACTTATTCCAGATTCTGCCTCCTCAAGAAGCCAGAATTTCATTTCAGGGCTTGATTTTGCTTTCAGCGTTTCTCTGGAGCTTAGCCTTTTTTCCCTAGACCTTCAAATCAAGAACACTTTATTAACCCTTGACTTTTAATGTTGATACATATGGCACTTTTAGAAGTTTTGTTCATACTGGCCCACGGGTAGCTTTTAACAGGAGGCATTTAATTCTAATAGAGCTCTCTCACTTTGGCCTGCAGGGCATCACAGGTCTTTTTAGCATCGCCTAGAAGCATGGCTGTGTTGGGCTTGTAAAAGATTGGATTGTCCACAGCTGCGTATCCAACGCCAAGCGATCTCTTCATAACAATGACCTGAAATGAGAAGCTCATGTTAGATATACCACAAATGGGGACATTCAGTAATAAATACCTTATGAAAAAATGCAGCCTCCACCACTGGAAAAAGTTTCAATATACATTAACAGTGGTCTTACTAATTTGTGTACTGACACATAAGGCTGGGGACTGCCTTTTTCCCTACAGCTTCAGAAAGAAGAATTGGACACTGCTAAGGACTGCTACAATTCCTTCAAGTTATTGAATGAACATGCAGGTGCTGAGCACTCCCCAATGCCAATTTTGTAAATTTTGAGGGCAAGGAAAGAAAGACCCCATTGTCCTATCCTGAAGCATCCCCTCCTGTAAACCTGCCAGGTGATGAGCTCCTTCCTTCCTTTGCAGGAAGGAATAAAATGTCCCCCAAGACCGGAACATGGATAAAATTCCCCCGAGCTTTTAGGTGAGTCTCAGTTTGCTTTAATGTTAGCCAGTGAGGTGGCCGAGGATCTTCTCTCTTTAAACACAGCCACGTGGTTGGTACTGCCAGCCCTCGGGCTTTCCAAACACCCTCAGCCATGTTCCCTGGATGAGCACACTAAGTAGTCAGTGCTTTTTCACCAGGTAACAATCATGGCATTTCATCCAAGATGGAGGACCTACTGAATTTTTTAACCTGGGTGGGCGGTGGGGGGGGGGGGGGTTGGAGAAGGAGAAGTAGCAGCCTGAGCCTGGATCCCGTTTTTTAAAATTTTGGCCCACATTTAATGAGGAAGGCACACTGCAAAGCACAACACAAGCATGACCATGACTAGTTATGATAACCTTTTCCTCCAGAATGTCTCTGGCCCTATGGTAATGTGCTTTGCTATGAGCAAGCATGTGAGGAAGGGAGGGAGGATGTCAGCATCAACACTAGTTCTGGTGGAATCTTGGGGACTCTTGGCATTTGCCCAAGCACGCTCGGTGCTGATACCGGGCCTGTCCTATCCCATTTGAATCAAAACTGCAGAGTTCTGTTTGACGTAATGGACTCAGAGGACAAATTTAGAAAGCTTCTGAAGCAGAAGAGAATGATGAGCAGGAAGTAGCACTCTGACAAACTGTTCCCAGGCAGATACTGGGAACAGATAGTGCAACCTGAAAGAACATGCAAAGGGGGATATAGGCTAAGCAGTTTCAACAAAACCTTACAGGAACCCTCCTTCTGAAAAAGGGGTACAGGAAGGGCTGAGCAGGCTCTGCCCATATAAAGAGGAGACCTTCTAAACAAGCTATGTATTGTGACAGGTGTCAAAGACTTTAATACACTGCTGGCACTTGCTGCAAGTCGTTTTCCTTTTGGAAAACCAAGGGAAATGTTAAATCCTTATTGATCTGAAAATGCAGAGCCTGCCTCAACCATCTGCATCAGCCTTCTCCAACCTGGAGCCCTCCATATGTTTTGACTGCAGCTTCTATCATGTCCAGTCAAGCATGCTGCTTGGAACCTTGAGAACAGCATTCCAGCAAATCTGGAGGGCAACCGGCTGGAGAAGACTGGTTTGCCAGACATTTCCAATGGGACATCAATGCATCCAAAACAGGGCCAAGGACAGGTGGGGACATCAGGGCAGGGAGCCCACCTTGCTCTCCAGAATTCTCCCACATGGCACACACCCTTTTCCCTGCTTCCACCCCTTTTCCTAATGACTTCCTGTTAAATTATCACTCACCTTTGTGAGTGATGATTTTGTTCGTGCCATTTTTTCCTCATTCTCATAGGCTGAAATGCTTCCCCAAAGGCATAATTATTGGTAATCAATATTGTGTTTAAGCTACAATATTGTGTTTTTGTGGTTTGCCTCTGCCCACTGCTGTTCCCAAGAGCTTCTCCAAAATGGGATTCAGCTCTGAGACTGACAGACGTTCCAGTGCCCCTGACCTTTGTCCAATGACCAAGTATCACCCTCAGTGCCGTTCCCAGCTAGTCTATTGTTCAAGACAAGCTTTCTCGCCAGAAAATTCTGGGTCTGAATGATGAGAGTGTGATTTTGAGTTTATAGAAATAGTAAAAGCAACAAATTCGCACAGTACTGAACCAGCCATACATTCTAAGCTTTAGAAGAATGTTAACTCAAATACACGGCTGTCAACCTGCATAAAAAGGAGCATCAGCACATGACAGTACTGCAAGGTGGTGCATTGCAAATGCCTACAATAGCATGTTGCATTTCATGGGCAACCACTAAGTCGTCAAAATTATCTGCACTAGCAAAATGTCCATTACACAGTATAAATGTGTATAGGGTAACTATTTGTGGTTGCTCATTACTGCACACCCACACTTATTCTTTATGCTTTGCTCTGAATTTGGCCCGTCAGTTAGTATGAAGTCTGTTGATTAATAAACATAAGAAAATATGCCTGAGAGGAGTATACGGATTCAAATAATATAGGTTTAGGTAATTAAGACACTGGATGGCTAGAAAGCAGCATTTTCTATCATGCAATTTCACTGGGAAAAGAGTTGGCAAAGCATTCCATACCAAAACTTGTAGGTTTCTCAAACAGTTGCATCCCCTGTCTTCTCAGCTTATCATACATATGCATCTTTGGACTATACTGACAAAATGGTTCAGAAAGAGGAGTAAGCAGAGAGAGCCTTGTGGAGGTGTGGAACAGAAATACTAAATTTCTAAACAGAGTAGGATTCCCAACACTTTTTAAATTTTTTCACCCACCTGCTTTGCCTTCCAAACTTCTAGAACTGGCATTCCAGCAATGATAGAGTTTGGATCTTCCTGGGCAGCTGAATTTACTGTGTCATTAGCTCCAATAACAAGGACCAGATCAGTTTCTGCAGTAAAACACAAGGAGAAAGGGACCCACATATAGTTATGAACAGAACTCAAATTCCAATTGTTAGTAGCAACTGTGGTAGCACAGAGATGCCCTAACCAGGACTCCAAATTCCACTATGAACTAAACAAAGAAAGGAAATCACAAGGGAAGCCTTTCCTACACTAATTCTTGAGGTGAGTTAAGACAGTTCTTCCAAAAAAAATTTAAAATAGCATAAAACGAATGAACAAACAGCATGAAATTTTAAGTTCCAAGACATGAATACATTATTTTCATCACTAAATGCAAGTAGAAAGTGCTAGATAAGAACTGGCATAGTTTAGACTGCCACATTTACTATTATGATCAAACTTCAATAAAGCAAAAAATAGCAGGCCATCCATCTCTCCCACCTGGAAAGTCTTCATTGATCTCATCCATTTCTAGGACGATGTCATATGGCACACCAGCTTCTGCAAGCAGAACATTGAGTTGTCCAGGCATGCGACCAGCCACAGGATGAATTCCAAACCTAAGTGCAGTGGGGGAAAAGAGTGGTGTAAAACTGTTCTATGGTATATGAAAAAACATGGAGTGAGCTTAAAATTCTTCTCCTACAGCACAGCAAAGTATCACACTATAATTTGACATTTTGGTGACTAAAACCCACGACTAGGACAGCACTCTTATGGGCTGCCTCTGCATTTAGAAAGATGCCTCCAATCTTGAAGACTGGCACACATGCAATATCCTGCTGGGCTACTGCTCTCGGGATGAGAGGAGCACCAGCAGCAATTTTTGCCCCCCAACTTCCTTTTAAATAGGTCCTGGAGCCCATCTAAAGATAGGCCTATCTCCCCTCCTCACCCACTAGAAAGTCTCCTTTTCCTTCCCCTCCAAAGCTGAACTTGCAGTCTCTGGGAGCTACTGACATGGCTTTTCCCACAGAAGTGTCAAGGCAGAGGGAACAGGAGCTCGGAGTCCCCCCTCCTGGTGTTGTAGCAATACCTACAAGACTCTTTGAAGACCAGTCCTATGGGCCCTGGCATACTATGGTCCCTGACCATAAGATTGCTCTCTGATTTCCCTAATTCCTCAAGTGAATAGGGATGGGAATCCAGATTGCCTAAATCCCCATTTATGACACTGACCAAACAAGACCTTTCTTCTTCCCACCAACAAAAGGATTTCTAGGAATAGCAAGTTCATATACACATCCTTAAAGTAGCTTCATTATGTGAAGGCACACTATAGCAGAAAGACGAAAAGGAAATGCTTCACCCAGCAAGCATATGGTTAAATTAAGGACTTCACCCACCACAGGAGGTGATGACCACCAGCTTAGATGGCTTTAGAAAAGGATTAGATAAATTCATGTAGGATGGAGCCGTGGTGGTTGCTAGCCATGCTGGCTAACTGGTACCTCCAGAATCATGAGGCAGCTTGCTTGGAAGCAACCATGGAAGTGGTTATTGGCTTCCCGAGGCCTCTAACTGGCCATGTATGCAAAGAGGATGCTGAACTATAGACGTTTGGTCTACACCAGCACAACTCTCCTTATGAATGCAAACTGTTGGCATTTGCAATAGCAGCTGTTCCTTTAAAGCAATGTGCACCCCTGATTTCAGTTCACAGTCCTAGGTATAGCCCTATTGTCATGTGTTAAAGCAGCAATGCAAATTAGTTTAATACTCCAAATACGTCATACATAAAACCAATTTAAGCATACAACAAGAAGGAAATGGTGCCTATTTTTGAAATCAAATGATATTGCAAAGCCAGCCTTGGAAGTCTGCCCCCAACAATAGCAATATGGGTATAGTTATTTTCTAGTCACAAAGCAACTAAGAGGGTAGACCTATTTCACTGCCTTTGACTCCCATCAGCAGTTGCCGGACTGTTGAACAGCGGGGAAGCTGTTGGCCAAAAGCAACAGGAGGGCCGCGAGTTGCCCACCCTGCATCTTAAGTTCAGCTGAATGTGCAAGCTCCTCTCAAGCATCATGGGTAAAAGGTTATTGTAAGAAAAACCTCTCCCTACATGAACTGAACAAATCACAGAGATTTTCTATAAACTCCTGATCTGGCCCAAGACATGGAAATTTAGCTTTTCCTGGATCAAATCTCAAGTACACAAGGAACAAATTGCTGAAGTTATCAAACTAATAGGGCTGATTTTTGCCATAAAATTACTGAAAAGATTAAGCTTGTGGCAAGAAGGGGGCTGGAAGACAACCATAGCACATTTGCTTAATTAACTCCACTTGGGCATTAAAAAATGTTTTTCAAAAGCTTTGCCTTCTATTCCTGGAACATTCTGGCCTGTATTGCAGAAACACAAAACGGTTGTGTGAGGGGAAATGCAATAAATTATTTCCCATTGTACATCTGCTGCAGCTGGTACTACTGCATTCTAGCTGCCAACCCAGAAATACTAAATTTATTTTTTGCCAGCTATACAGGAGCACAGCATAGAATAATGTAATTGCAATTATGCTTCATTATCAACCCCCTCTCCTAATGAATCCTTCCTCTCTAATTTGCCCCCCCCCCCACAAATCACTTAGTTTATTGGAACCGTTATTTTCACCAAGCTTCAATCACAACCAAATATATTAGGAAAATATTAAAGATAAGCCCAGGTGAAGCTTCTGTTGCACAATCACTCTTCCTCACTCATATAACTGCACAGGAGCTCCAGGCAAAGTCATCTTCAATTTTTAACTTTCCTGTTCAATACATTTTGTCCCTATCACTTCTTTTGTCTTTTCTTTACTGCAGAAAATCTGTCAATGTAAAAACAGAATGGTTGCATGCTTCCTTTGATCAGGTACCTCCCACCTGGGAACACCTTAATGTTAAATTGCTGCTATTTTAAACCTCTGCAGCATGCATATGGTTAAGATACTTTTTAAAAAACAAACCTATACCATTATTCCTGGGCCTCCTAATTAACTGACAAAATCTGCTCCAATGTTTGGCTTTGGTTGTTCAAATAACTTGGCAAGTTGCTTTAAACAAAGATTTTGATGGTAAAAGTGTACAAAGATAGTAGCAATACTACAAACCAAGTATAAATGCATCTTTTCCCACCCAAGGGTTGTTGTAGTTCATGGATTTACTTACCGTATCTTTTCAGAATTAATGTCAGTGCAATATGTCTGTGCCATTGCTAACACTTACCAGATCTAGTTTCAAACCAGAGTTTACATCAGGAAACTTGCAAACCCTGTTTAAATCTAACCATGTTTAGGTTTTAAGATTGGAGCAGTTATAATACTACACTATGGTTAATTTTGACAAGGTTAAAAGGTGAGGAATTCAGGAGAGACCTGAAGGGGGTGTGTGGCAACTTGTGAGTCTATGCAACATTCCCAATCTCCTAAGTATTACACTTTAGGAGAAAATCAAGTTAAGGCAAAATTGCTGTGATAGAAAAGAGAAGACATGCAGTTACCAAAAATAGAGGCTTCTTCAATATTGTTTCAAAATGCATTACTTCCCATAATATGATAGTTCACTATACAAGTTACTAGTGTTTCTAAGCCTTTCCCAACATGCTGCATTGCAGTGTTGGACTACAACTCCCAGCAGCAAGGGGATGGAACCACATGGGATGAGCCCTGGGTTTACAAGAGAAAATCAAAGGTAGCTGCACAAGATCCTGAATCAGGAACACTCTGCTAGGGACAGGAGATGTCCCTTTGCAACATACCATTTTCTGATTGCAATACCTTGCCACTCCCTGCAACAAAATGCAATTTGCCACAACTAAACAACACAAGCACCTGCAAGGCTTCCCTGTTAAATATAGTGACCCTTTTTGCGGGGCAGGGGGATTCCCCTCAATAAATATTCTTGTTCACGGATCTTCTGTATCACGTCTTATTTAGCCCTCCAGTTAGCAGCATAGGAAGGATCTCTTCACACATCTACTTCCAATGTGTACTCCAGCAATTCTCCTCTTGGTTTGCAAAAGAATTTTTTCATACAAGCGTGTTTACATACTTTCCATTTATTGTGTAGGCAGTGAAAGCATCTCTGTGTTTTGAAGCTAACTCAGAAGAAACAACCAACATCCAATTTTTGTTTTAACTCATAAGGACTAGGAACTTTTGAGTATGGGGTAGGGGAAATAACAGCCTATAAGCACAGTAGGCTTCTTGCTTGCAAAGCACATCTGTAAACAGCTCGAAATATACTTTAGAGAGAAAATATCTACAATCCCTCTAGCAAAGACCAGATGGAGAATCAGATATACAACAGCAAAAGAAATATGACAAAATATTAAGAAGCTTAAAGTTACAGCCAGCCAGCCACTCAATAATTCAAGCCATGTGATGCAGACCTTACTCTTTCCAGAAAAGCACTGAAGCACAATAGCTTTAAGAAGACTTCTTATGCTAAAATCTATGTCAGAATCCGGGCAAGAAAAACAACTTATATTTAACTAACTTTTATGAAAATGAAGATTTCAGTTTTATACACTACCCAGTTCTCATAAATTGCCCTCCCCCAATCAGTATGTACAGGATTGTTTAAAGAATATCTGTATATGCAAAATGATTTCCACTACTGGTTGTTCAACCAAGAGAGAAACTGTGAGTGAAGTTCTAAATTTAATTGCATGCCTTTTTGTAATAGGGCAGAGGAACAGAAGCCATAAGATTCCATTATGGAGAGGATGCATGATCCCCACCAAAGGTACAGACAGCCTGGAAGCACATGACAGTGATCTCTGGCTGCACCACAGTACTGTTTGTTCACAGAAAAGGACCACTCTCTTTGGGCCTCCTATACGTTGCTGCTGCCAGTTTTGAAGCCTACAACAAAGTCTGAACTGGGGACCTATTCTAACTGTAGGGGTTCAGCCTATGCCCTCCCTCCCAAGCTTGGCCAGACAGGAAAGCAGCAAGTCCCACAAGAAAGCCTTTTAACAGGCCAGAACAGGTCCTGCACTGCAAGTCAAGCTTGCTCGCTGGTTCAGTACAAGGGGACTCTGCTGTTAGAGCCCTTGACAATGGACCATCTGTGATCTTGCCGTACAACGAGGCAGAACTGAGTCACGCTATCATTAGGGATTACAAAACCCCCAAACCACTTACTTATATTTAGAGTTTCCTGTCTTCGGGGTAACTCCCACTTACATGCATTCCAAATAACTACAGCACTCCATTTATGTTCCTATGCCCTCTCATTCATATCATGTCAGCCAAGTGCATGCTGGACAGGAAAAATACTGCATGCACAGGGATAATCAGAGGCAAAGCAGCTAGTGGAGCACGTTACACAGCAAATAAATAATGCTTAGCAATACTCAGAAATGTCATAGAGCAAGCAGAGACAGGTATCGCACAGATATAGCTTACTAGGCTCACATAAGTCCCAGCAATTTTGGCAAAAACTACAGGAGTCCCTATTTGCACGTAGATTATTAATTCAATTATCTCAAATGAATTCCGCGACAGGTTGGATATGCATGAGCTTCTACTGCGCCAGTGCAGCAGAAGCGTATTCACCACCCCAGCTTTAT